ACTTCAACGAGGTTATCATTAAGAGAAAGATCTATTGGATCTTCTTCAAAGTCACTTTGCAATGTTTCTTCTTTATCTAAAGGACCTTCATCATAGATTCGTGACAATGCATCTGCATTCCGATGCACTTTTCCGGGATGGTGAATCACGGTAAAGGTGTAGGGTTCTAATCTTAGAATCCAACGAGCATGGATGCCTTTTAGTTCACTGGTCCACAACTATTTAAGGGCGGCATAGTCCATTATAAGGTAGAAGTGTTTACTTCTAATATAGTGGTAGAAGTATTCAACAGCCTATACGACTGCCAAGCATTCTAACTCTGTGGCTGAATAATTTTTCTCAGCCTTACTCAGACTATGGCTGGTATATGATATAACATATTCTCTCTTTTGATCATCAAATTGGGCTAGTACGGCACCTAACCTGGAGTTGGAAGCATCAGTATGAATATAAAATAATCTTTCAAAATCAGGCTGCTGTAGAATTGGTGCTGATATAAGATGATTTTTCAGAGCATCAAAAGCACGTTGTTGCTCTTTGGCCCAAATATATGATTCATCTTTTTTTAGTAATTAGTTTAGAGGCTTAGCAATCTTGGAAAACTTATTTATGAACTTCCTATAATAGGAGGCAAGTCCTAAAAATCCCCTAATTTGGCGCAAGGTGGCTGGAACTGGGTAATTTTTTATTTTAATAATTTTATCCTCATCTGGCCTTAATCTGTCTCGTCCCACGATGTGGCCTAAGAACTTGAGGTTAGGTAAGAAGAAAAAGCACTTGTCCAGATTTAATATTAATTTAGCCGCCTTTAACTTAGCAAATACTTGCTGTAGGTGTTAGAGATGTTCTTCGAAGGTGTTGGAATAAATGGTTATGTCGTCCAGATACACGACGACAAATTTATTAATAAATTCTCGGAGCATAGTATCCATTAATCGTTGGAATGTGACAGGCACATTACAGAGGCCAAACAGCATTACGTTGAACTCGTATGTGCTGAATTTGGTGATAAGAGCTGTCTTTTTCTTATCTTCCTCAGCCATGGCTACTTGCCAATAGCCACTAGCCAAATTCAAGCTAGAAAACCACTTGGCTTTTCCAAAGCTATTCAGAATTTCATTAATATTAGGTAAAAGATAGATATCCTTTTCTGTTACTGCATTTAATTTGCGATAGTCAATGCAAATTCTTTATTTTCTATCTTTTTTAGGGACAATTACTACTAGGGAACCTCATGGTCCTTCAACAGCATGTATAACTCCTAATTTCTCTATTTTGTTAAGTTCCTTTTGGAGAAAGTCTTGCTGATATGGTGAAATCCGATAGGGCCTCTGCTTGATGGGTTGGGCTTTTCTGGTATTAATCTAATAATGTACTATATCAGTACATCCGAGCCCTATTGTCTGTTCATTTTCTGAGATATCTGTGGCAAAAACTTTGTGGTTTTGAAGCAACAACTCATGGGCTGCTTCTTTTTGCTATAGAGTAACTTTTTGGCCAATATTATAATCGAGTGAGGTTTCTGGTTGGTCCATACCATCCATTGTTTCTACCAAACATATAGCTGGGCTAATCTTATTTTTCCAAGAATTATAAAACAATCCATCTTCAGAATCCGTGGTGGCTTCATCAGAGAAAAAGGTCTCTGATTCTTCATCAAGTTCATTTACCCACTAATCATCATCCTCCTCGTCTGTATCCTCGATAGGGAGTGGCAGGGTGGTACTGGTATGGGTAGTGTTGATGGTGGCCTGCTTACTGGCATATTTAATATGCAGGGTATGATTTCCGAAGTTCAGAGTGGTACAAGATTTGGCAAACCAATCTGTCCCAAGTAAAAGAGTCTCATCCATAAACTCAATAACTTGTAGGTCAATTGTGATGACTATGTCTTGTAATACAATCTTGATATTTTCTACAATGCCAAGAGCCTTCGATCTGCCACCATTGGCAGTTACAACCACTGTTTTGGATTCTTTGGTCAGGGCAAGCCCTAATCTTTTTATCAGCTTGTTGGTTATGATGCTTACGGCAGCACCTAAATCCAGTATAGCTATGACCGGGGTGCCTTTAATCTTCACATGATATCTTATTGCCACAGTTTTCTGGACTTTATCCGTTTCCAAACTGTTAGCCTCGGTGGTGGATTGTTTGGGTCTTTTCATAATCTTAGCCAGATTTTGCTTTTGATCAGGATATTTAAGAGCTTGTACCAATGTTATATTGGCTTTCAAATTTAATATATTCTCCACTATATCATAAGGCTGAATTTGATCAATGATAGAAGGTATTCTTTTCTTGATTACTTTCTTACCAATTAGAAAATTTACCGTGACATCCATGGGGTTCTTTTGATCTGGAGTCTCAAAAGTGGTTTTTACTTTTGGGGTCTTCTTTAGCAAAGCATTCTTTTTTTCCAATTCAGATTGCTTTTGCTTAGCCTCCTTACGGTCCTTAACGTATGGTTGATGCCAGGTGCCTGAGAGACATACACTAACTCTTCTTGGTCCCCAGAATCATCTTCATACTCAGCATCGGCATAGCTGACATTTTTGAACTTGTCATTACTTGACTAAGCCTTCTGTTCCTTAACAGGCTTCTTTTCCAAAAGACAATTTTGAGCGAAATATCCAATTTCACCGCAGCAATAACAAACCAAAGGAGTTTTGGTTACTTTGGATGTTTGGGGTAGTTGGGTTAATTGGGTTGGTTGGGACAGCCCTGCTAAGACTTGAGCAGTCAATGCTAATGCTAAGG